CAGTCCTCAGAAGGATTCAACAATTGGAACGATTACTACCAGACCACCGAGAAGACCAAAACTCAAAGACGCCTAAAAATGAGATGCGGAGCAGGATTCTGAAGACGCCAACTGGTACTCCTGAGGAGGGTAAGAAGGGGCGGTGCATTAACTCAGCATATCGAAAAAAAAAAAGTCAAATAAATTAGAGATGACCCCAACTTTGTCCCGGACTTAACATAATATCAGAAGTGTCACGAGAAGAAGCCGCCCGACATCAGGCCCCCTCTGTGGGACTGCGTCCACTTTGAAGAAGAAAGAAATGAAGCATTTACATCATGGTACGAAAGACCCCAGGATCGTGAAGGCTGAAGAAATCCGACGGGGAATAAAAACCAAAGTCTGAATTATGCTAGAAGTTGTAATCTCCTACATGGAGAAGTCGGGTATCAGCGAAACCCTCTAACTATATTCTTTTCTTAAAGGGGACTCGCCGTAGCGGAACGCGCTCCCTATTCATGAAGATTTTATGAACGCTTTCTTATCCATCTATCATGTCTCCGCCCGTCAGAGCACATTGACATCATGCCGTTGATCGGTTTGCATTGCCTTTTATGTCCCATACTACCAATACTAAAACAAACAAACAAAAAAAAAACAGTAGTAAAAAAGCACGAACTACGAGTAAAAGTTGGTGCCGACGACGTTGATGGAGAGGGTTCGTGTTTTTAGAATGTAGAAACAGCGCGAAGTAAGTCCAGGAGAAAAGGTGTACGCATATGAAGGAACTTATTAGAACGAGGTCAACTTTTCTAGAGCGGCAAGGCATCCGCAGTCTAGTTTCCCTCGGAATGAAGCCGGGTACAACCATATCCCCAAACAGCCCTTTCACTAAGAGAAACAGAAATGAAAGTTCGACTCCCGAGGCCCACTCTGTCCAGAGTCGAACCAGACTGCCGTGACCTGCATGAGGATCCGCAGTGTTTGTCCACGCCTTATCGCTCTCTCTTGATCAGAAGTCAACGGTACGGAAAATATGGGAGCTGGCTGCGCAGCTCGGTTGGACTACACATCTAAGCGTCTATGTTCTTTCTAGTTATCTCTTCCTATATTTCTTGGTCTTATTGAGAGGAGAGCCCACATTGCCTTGCGATAGCGGCTGAGGCAAATTGAAGATTAGCACAAAATTGCAAGGCTCACTAACCGCCTATCAAAGGAAGCAAGCGAGCAAGCGAGCTGGCTGGACGTTTGTGAGACAAGACGCGATATACCCCACGATAGATTGTTGTATTAAACAGCTTGTTATTTCACGGGTCAGGCTTCGTACGGCAAATGGGAGTTTCTATAAGTCCGGGTTGTTTTCTGTTTTTTTTTAGCTCTTGCGTAAGGTACCTCATTGTTTTACGTAGGCACCGATTTGCAGTTGTTACGTTTTATCAGCGAGCTGGCAGGGAGGTTTGTTATTGTTATTATGTCCGTTTTTTTTCGCGGTTTGTTTATTTAGACATATTGATTTAATATCGGATCAGGTAACTAATATCAACATCATAAAGCAGGGCTCAAAAGTAGTTTCGCGGGAAATTGAAGAAACTGTTCCTGAGGAAAGAAAAACAGAAGGCTCTCGAACCTTCTGTTTGTCTTTCCTCTGGAAAGACAAACAGAAGGTTGGGTTTTGTTCTTTATAGCCGATTCACACGAAGGACCGAATCGCAATTTTTGTCCGCGGTTTTTTTCTCGATCTGTACGTAACACCGGCGTACGATTCATTAGCGCGGTAGCAAACGTCGATTTCTCTCTTGGACAACGGTGCCACGGTGCGTTGCTGGAGTTTCACGGCACTGTGGGGTGGCCAACAGGTTCGGTCCGTCCTCGCTGGCGTCTGCTCGTCGTCTCCCTCGTGTGGATGCGCATGGGAGACGGACGGACCGCGGACACGTCGTCACGTGATCAATCCGTCCGCGGATCAGTTCGTCGTGTGAATCGGCCATTAGTAACTTGATTGATTCTTTATTTTCGTATTTCTTCGCTGTTTTTTTTTTTCTGTAGAGCGAGTATGATCGAGTCCTCGCAGCTCAGGGGATAATTGTGTAAAAGCAACTAAAACATTGACTTCCGAAGACACCATCTACGCAAAAAACAACAACAACAACAACAACAAGAGCCTCAACAACAACGAGAGTTTAATGGACAACACAGTTTAAACAATCGCACTTAAGTTACCAACGGACTCCACATTACTATCGTGCAACAAGGCTAGCATCTCTGCACTCCAGCCCAATCAACGACGTAAGACGCAATATCCTGATTATATAGAGTGCCGCGGGGAAGTTTTCCCGCTCGTATCGACATACCGCAAAGGAGATTACCTTCCAGGGTCTATCTGACACCGACGATTACTGAAGTATTCGAAGTCACTCACAAGGGAGGTGCCGCCATTTTGAAATCTAGAAGAGAGATGTCAACACCCGAAAGCGACCAAGCGGAAAAACACTAAACCAACGTTTTTCTTTTTTTTTTTTTTTTTTGGGGGGGGGGAGGGGAAAGGAGGGGGTTCTTTTTTTTTTTTGCTCGCGGAGCGCGTTTTAATTAAAGGTTCCACGTTTTTTTTTTTTATTGCGCGGGACAATTAATAATACCCATGGCAATATTTTTGTATTGGTCACGTCGCACAGAGATGGGCAAAACTAATGCGTTGTGGACAATTCGTCTGCTAGCGGAGGCTGCCAGCTCGCCAGGGGCGCTGCGATCAGTTTTCGCCCGCGCTACGCAGGAGTTGCCAGTATTTGGCTGCAGTTTCAGCTTAAGGGTGAACGGACTATTACAGGAGGTATCGGTAGGTGCCCGGTCAGGCTAGCGCACAGCGCACACCAGCCGGAGCAGGCGGAGCGAAAACTTGCGCTGCCTAACCCAGGGATCCTGGGTTTTATCTCCGCCCCTGCCCGTTTCGATCTGGATGAGCATCGTACCGGCGTGCGGTCGTCTATTACTACTAAGTGGTGCACGTTAAAGGCCGCCAGGCCAGCGGTTGTACCGCACTGGCTGAATTGCTCATATACAGCTGAGACACTAGATGCCCATTGGGGCTGACTAACTTCAGGCTGTATAAACATACACGCACATACATTTTGTACTAGCCGTTGAGGGAAGTTATCATAAACAAAGCAGAAACTAATTATCATTACTATCTTTTTTTTTTAATGGACAACGCCGTCACACTGAGATAATACTAGGCGGGTGTGATTTTGACGCGTTGTCTGGGGACGTTCGTACATGGCTCGTCTCATCGGTCACCGTACGAGGCTCTCGTCGAACATTCGAGGCCGTCATTTGGCAGGTCGTGCCGTTGATGGCGGGTCGTTTGGGATTTGCGTCTAACGGCGCACTAATAGATGTCCCCGCGGCGACCGCGGTCGAGATTGCGGCGGACTAATGGCGGCGGGGTCTTCTCCGAGCCCAGACCCAGGAAAGATTGACCGGTCAAATAGCGTCCTTGGCGGTCGACCGTGTTACGTGGACGTCGTGTTGCTCTTTAACGCTGTGTCGCAAGAGACGGCGCCAACGCTTGTATTCATTGTTGGGGCTGTGCGCAGTTTGTAGAAGTGATCTTTAGGATCGACGTGTCCCACAATCGAGTTTGTTCCTGTTGTCCTCTTTCTTAGAGCGCAGCTCTTAGGCGCCCTTTCTTCCACCTTTCGCGGCGTCGCCGTCGGCGTCGGCGTAACCGCGCTAAATTTAGCGGGAAGATTTGCATCACGTGATCTCAACACCAATTCAATTCCCCGCTAAATTTAGCGGGGAATTCAGTTTCTCCGCTAGATTTAGCGAGAAAATTGACATCATGTGACCTCAACACGATTTCCCCGCTAAATTTGAAGGTGGAATTGAATTGCTCTTGGAGATCACGTGACGCCACTTTTCGCTCTAAATCTAGCGGAGAAACTGAATTTTTCATGTGTGACGTGACACCAAGTGATGTGACGTCGTTTCCCCCACTAAATTTAGCGTAGGGAGATTAGGGAGTCTAGGAGGAGGAGGGGGGCATACCCTCCCCTTCTCCTTCTCAAGAGCTGCACTCTAATTGCGCATTACAAAGATTTGTGAACGTCTAATTTCTTTTTTTCAGGATTAAACGAGAAATTGTTGTTTAACACGCAAAGACGATCCGAGCGAGATGATAGATGCCTACTTTGCGTAAGGTTGATCTGCCATACCCTGTGCAAACGCTGGTTGACGCAATAAATTAGCATTTTAGCCACTTGAGTACGACTGCTTTTCTGGGGTATTTAACGTGCCATAGCACAGTAATAATGAAACGGTATTACAATGTTTGTTTTTGCTCCTGCTTTTTAAGGGTTGCGGGGGTACTACGAACTGACATCTTGATCGGCTAGATGCTTTTTCCCAACCATGCACGCTTGCTTCTTTTTTTCTTTTTTTGTTTTGGGGGGGGGGGGGGGGGGGGGGGAGGGGGGGGAAAGGGCGCTAGTGTGGCTGCTTGAAGAAAGAGCGGTCACCACGAGGTCACCAGTCTTATAAACTGCACTCCAATATGTGCCTGCGCGTCTGTTTGCCCTTATAGCTCCTTTTGAGCCAAGCTCCGCGTTTTAGGGAACGCGCTCAGGGAATAACGTTCTACAAAGACGGTTTGATTCAATGTACGAGAAGTACACAGTAACAATGCGTAACTAAAACGTCATGCTCATTATCAACGCGCCGATGGGGTTCTCGTCCAACCACTTTTTTTTTCTATTGAGCCTGTTTATTGGCTGTGGCGGCCCGTTACTTCATGTGATTGGTTACGGGCCGCCACTTTTTCTGCATCATCTCCAGAAAAAGTGTCTGGCAAGCGTTTATGTTTTTTTTTGCACTGTAGCGTTCCGCGTGATCTTAAGAAGCACATTATATTTCTCTCCTCTCTTTTAATAGCAAAGAACAAACGCTATTCGCAGACATGCCAGGTGCACCTGGTTGGCCAACATTTGTTTCGTTCGAGCCTCGTCAACTGTCCTCGTATATACGCAATGTTTAACACGCTGGATCAGTCAGAGTTTGCTCAGCCAGTGCCTCTGCCTTACGGAGCTTTCAAGTGGTATTTGTGCCTATGGTCGATGAGGAATAAGGAACGCTGTTAGGGCGAATGCTTAGCGGAACGTGCAAGTCCGGGAATGCGAACTTCTTCGCCTTTTTTCCCAATGACTTTTGGCTTATATTCCGCTTAGCATGCCCGTAACACCAGTGCTACGCAGATGTTTAAACACCACTTGGGTATGTTTAAACACCACTTGGGTATCATCTAATGAACTTCTGCATCACAAACCAGAATTAAAAGGAGAGGTTCTCAAGGATCCAAGAAGCGTTCAGATGCTAGCTTTTCGTGGAGAGTATTTAGCGTTTCGGTTGATCCTGGTGATTGGATCAAGTTCACCTGGCTTGAATCTACAACAAAACGCCAATTTAGAGTTTTACTTAAACATATTTGCGCCAAGAACCAAATTAAAAAAAGTTTAATTCGCTCTCTAATATAAGAATTCTTACTCAAGTCTCGAGCATTCTGCCCGAAAAGATCGGGAATCTGAGTTTATTAAACAGTCTTTTTTTTTTTGTGTTTGCTTTCGATGAATTACGGTGTCATAAAACACATTTTTTTCTAAAATTTTTAAAATTGCGATATTAAGAAAAGTTACTATTTCAGTCTTTTTTTTAACTAGTAGCGTCGATAATGAGGCTATACTCAAAGGTGCGCCGGATAAAGACCACTGAATTTTCAAATAAGCCACGAATAAATCAATGCACTAAGACGCAGTCACTTTGTTCGTACATCACACAAAAGAGAGCGGAGACACTGGCTGAGCGGTATTTTTTTCATGTATTATGTCACGCTGGTTATTATGAAAACTCTCTTGAGAAACGTTAGTATCATACATTTGTATTAGGTAAAGGTAACTCAAACATGCTTGAACATCCTGCCGTACATGTCTACAGCGAAGACCGCGTTTTTTTTTCTTTTGTGTGTGTGACATATGATTAGTGTGTCAGCGACTCTACGAATCAAACAATTCTAAGTCCACAGTCAATGTATCACTCGACTTCATGAATGAATCAATCAATCAGACGAGAGACAAAAAAATCAAGCCTTGAGAAACAAATAAAAAAGTGTGTTTTATGAATAACGAGGTTTCAAATTATGGCTAAATTTAGTTTCTGAGGAAATTTTAAACTCAACATAAGATTTTCTTGAAAATAAATTAAACTAAAGCGGTTCCAGTCAATTGGACACGTATAGTATTTAATAAGCAAGCAAAATGTATGATGAATTCTAAGATACAGTGCTCCAAATATCTAACCAAAACGCCGAAGACGCGGTGTTTGGCGTTTTTTCTTTATTTCTGGCAACAAATATGCCAACGCTGTTTAATATAAAGGAAAAATTAGGTCATGCGTCATCTACGAGAAAAAGGAGTGTGAATGTTTTTGTTTTCACCTATTTATAACAGCTGACAGACCTGGGTACTCAAATCAGGCAGCCTGAATGTTGCATTTCACCTTACTTTACTTCAATATTTTCCTGAAGAAAATTGAACGTTTTTTTTTTTTTTTTTTTTCATATGTTAAAAATTGGCTTTTCGCATTGCGAAATCGGGATACCCCAGATATGTTTTAAGGCAAATAAAAAAATCCACTTCGACGCGCGTGTTTAATTTCAAATGAAAGCACACGGCTCCTTGACTATATTTAACGACGCACTACTAAAGCACTTCATTCTCGAATAGTTGCCTGCGTTGCATTGGTACGATTTGTTTTCTGTTTTTTGCACCGTCTATTTTCCGCCTTATCGTTTGCAAAATGCGGCCAGCGTAAAAAGAAAAAAAAAAAGCAAAGAAACAATAAAAAAACTAATTACATGTAAATAAAAAAAATCCTGCGCCTCGCATAACGTTACCAGTTTTCTATATCGTTTGCTGAACTGAGATGTATGTAGATCAGAAATTCTTAGATCAGCTAAACTTAGATTTTATTCGAAAAGCCTTAGGTTCTTTCATCAAGACGTAAACATACATTTCAGTCTACCCAGTTTGTCTGGCTTGCTGAGGCAACTTCTTAGTCTTTAAAAGTAATTTCAGGAGTACCCAGGGGAACCGTACTGAGCCCACTAATTTTCCTCGTTCACATTAATGATATTGGTTGCCAACTTAAAAAACAGTCCGACTGTGTTGTTATTTATCGCGCGCTGTTACCAGCGAAGCTGATTGCGAGGCATTGCAAGCCGACTTATGCTTGATGCAGAAATGGTGTGCAGAGTGGCTCACAATTATTAATCACCTTAAGTCGGAATCGGTATTGTTTTCCGAATCACGTAATCCCAACACTTATTCCTATCAACTTGATCACCATCCACTGTAAAAAGCAAAACAAAGTTTCCTGCTTTAAATATTGCGGCGTTCATTTAATTTCCGGCAGGTCGTGGAAGACTCATGTTAAAAAATTTGCTTCAAGAGCAAATAAAGCTTTAGAATTTCTAAGACGGGATCTTTAAAAAAACCTCACCAAAAGTCAAACAGCTGTCATACCACACCCTCGTCAGATTGAAACTGGAATATGCCTCCACCCTCTGGAACCCTCATCAAACTTATCCCTCCGACATGTTGGAATCAATTCAGAACCGGGTGGCCCGCTTCATTCTTCACGACTAATCAACCTCAAGCATTTCAATAAAAAAAAAGAAAAACTCAATTATATTATCTTTTTTTAAAAAAACGTCTGTCGCGGATTATTTTCACCTTCTAGTATCTCCCTTCGTTGTGAGCATAGTCATCAGCTTCCTTTTGTCTGAACTAACGCTTTTAAAAATTCGTTCCTCATTTTGTATATAAGTGAATGACATGTATTATCGGAATCCCTTAACAATAGTTGATTATATCTTTTTTCAACAGAGCTCACTCGACATGCGTTTTCTCATTATAATGTTGCAAATAATTACCGAAGGCGAACAGCGTTTGATAAGTTGCTTTCTACCTTTGTATAGTGTCATATACTACCCCCTCATTTATTTGCCCCTTAAGTTATAATAAATGAAATCAATGAAATGAAATGATGAAAGCATCGTTTCTTCCTTCGACAACCAAGTGATGTAAGAACTACTTCGAGCGGGGAATGAATACTGCGCAAAACTAGCTTTTTTTCTTAATGTTACAACATGTATAGTTGAGACGCGTAAAAGAAGAGTGAATTGCAGACAAAATAAAAAAAAAATAAAGAAGACAAAATATGAGGTGTTTTTCCGTGGTTTGCTTCGATGCCAATCTCCACTTTCCGATGCAAGTGCCATCGAGGCAATTGCGTCTTCTTCGAGAAAACCACTTTCCTTGTCCTCAATGGCTTTCTTTTTCGGCGTGGGAACGGAGAAAACGCATAGACCGGATTTATTGGCGGCGTTGTAAATTTCCCCGGGTGTGCGCAGGAGGCAAGCTCATTTCCCTTCGGCTGGTGTTTGTTTCGGCAAAGCAGAAAATGCCGAACCACTGGGATTTGTCAGCTCGGGATCAGTTCATTTTTTTGTTTCTTGCGTAGTCTCGGTTCTTTTCAGTTTCTCACTTACCTTATCTCAATCTGAATACCGACGTCTTTCATCTGTATATACATTATATCTTTTTCTGTCTTTTTTATTAATGCTCGTCTGACTTTTCGGGCCTTCCGGTGTTTCGCTCTGCTATGAAATCGAGCTGATTCCGGGTTTCGTTGAGTTTTGTATTAAAATTAATGGGTCTCTTTTTGTTTACAACGTGCAGTAACTTGAGAAGCGCCACATTTCCTCGACACCTCCTGCGTAGCAATGTCATAGCGCCAACGATTCCACGTCACTTACGGACGGCCAGCGCTTGCAGTCAGTGTAGTCCAATAAGTGCACTGCATTGGCCTCCAACACCTAAGGTTTGAGAACTACGGCCTTGTGCCCTAGAAAGTGCCGGCATCTACCCAGACTTCTCACTTACCTGGAATCTCGCTAACGCCCCTCTTTCTCTTGTTTCTTCTTGTTTTTCTTTTATTAGCTGGCGCTGGCGGCCGGAACGCCCAGGTGCCTGGCCGAGGCCAGAGCCGCGCCCCGGGCCGGCTCCTGCTCCTCCCGGGCGGCAGTCTGGCACGGGGTTTGAGCCCCGGCGAGTACGAGCACCTCCTCAAGAGCCCCAACGTCCGCAACGTCACCACGCAACTGGGGCAGACGGTGTACCTCCACTGCGTCGTGGACTCCGCTGCGGACCGCATGGTAAGTGAAAACGCATTGCATCGTACGAAACTTGTATATACTGGGCGTTCCTGAGAAAAGAGAGCTGTGTTTTTCTTTTGGCCCGCGTAAATAAACTTTGCATCGCAGAAAGCTCAAACTCTGTGAGAATGTGACACTAGTGGTTGGGATAGAACGGGAAAGTTTGCGAACAGGACGCTGAGGAGACTAAATCTCTAAACGAGCGGCCGTCCCCCTAAGCCTACTCAAAACGCGAAGTGTCTTTGTGAGGAGTAGTGGGACTTATATTAGTGAAAACTAAAAAAAAAAAAAAAAAAAAAAACTAAAAAGATTGTAAATAAGTATATGTTTTTTTCTTTGTGACGAGAGTTTTGCATTGAAACAGATGCTGCAGGCACCAGCAACGCAGTTCTTGTTGTGGCAATATTAGGCTTAGGTGAACGTCGGCTCATAGAAATATTTGGTGTTTCTCAACGATGTTTGATCCAAGTAGTGTTATGTTCGGAAACTTTCGCGTTCTATCCCAGCCGCTTGCGTCAAATTCCCATGGGGTTTGAGCTTTCTAAGTTGCATAGGTTATTTACCCTGGCCGAGAAACACCGCTATTTTTTCTCGGGAACGCCCTAGACTCCGTTGCAATTTAATTGAAGCAGCACAAGCTCCTCCCAAAGAGCCCTTATTTTTTTTTTTTTTCTGGTTACTTGCGCCGAGTGATTGTGAGAGAGAACTCGAGAGAGAAGGCGAAGAGTCAACTTTCCTCCTCTCTGGCGTCTGGTTTACTAAAGTGGAAAGAGTGTTGGGCGTTCCGGATGGAGCTCGATCTGGTTTTCTTACCTGCCACAAAGAATAGGGTGTCCGAAATAACCAAGATAGATCTGAAATGAGCCATAAAAATCGGCGCATGCACGAAGCAATGTAAACCTTTCGTCAATGGTGTATTTCACAGGTCGGTTTTATTTTGTGAAATTACAAAGCGTAGCTCCTTTCAGTAAGACATAAGGCAAACAAAAAATACACTTTGGGGACAACGGTGGACGGCAGTGCAGACAGCCGAGTCGAGTGTGTGTAGGGGGGGGGGGCGGGGGGGGGGGGGGAGTTTGGGCGCACATATTGATACATGGCGTTGGGAGCAACGTGGCAAGGTGTAGCCAAAAAATCATAAGGGTGCAGGCGAGCTGGTGAATATTAACCATGTTAAATTAACCTGAGACTGGGGTAGATGTTTCTTCTCTACCCCAGTCTCAGGTTAATTCAACACGGTTAAGGTGTAGTCGTCCATCGAAAGAGAGCAGACAACACTCGGACAAAATCCGTCGGCAGCAAGAGGGCCGTCGTTATGCAACCGGATTTTTTTTTAAATTTTTTTCACTTAAAGTTATGTCTTCATTGTCTGCATTTCCTTTTAAACCAAAGGTACATTGCAAAAGTAGTATGTTCAATTAATTAGACCATGATCGTCGCGAGCAGTTTTGATAAGAGGCAGCGCCATCTATCAACACTTGCACCAGACGAGCCCCGCCCCTCGACTGACTCGTCTGCGTCGCCGTCCGCCGTTGACCTTGGCAGGTTTTAAGGCCTTATTTTTTACAGAAACAAAGCTATGCTTTGTAATTTTTCAAAACAAAATTGACCTGTGAAATACACCCTTGACGAAAAGTTGAGATTATTATGTAGGCGCCGATTTTTACGGCATATTATAGATTGAGCCTGGTTCTTTCGGACCAGGCTCGATCTAACGGTCAGTCGGCTAATTAAGTATAACTTGTGAATTAACTTTTTAATTAGTGCAAATACACATATGGTTCCAATAAGAACATTGAAAAGCATCATCGAAAACCACTAAATAACCTCTTTTTAGGAAGATTCAAAACAAAAACAACGTTTTACGGCGTTCTGAACAAAAATAATCGCTTAGTTTGGACGTGTTTCCAGGTTTCGGTTTCTTATCGGAGCGGATCTTTGGGCTCTTGGTCCTGCTCCCCGATGGTCCCGGCGCGAAGTCGCCTCCTCGCCTTCCACGTAGGATGGAAGTAGGGCGCACGTCTGTTGCGCGTCACAGCCACTGGAGAGCTGGACCGTGGGGCGCAGAGATTCGCTCCGATAAGAAACCGAAACCAAGAAACGCATCCAAATAAAGCGTTTCCACGGAACACCGAACAATTTTGCCCCTGTCTTATGTCTTCCTAAAAAGAGTTTATTTATTGGTTTTCTATGACGCCCAGAAAGCTTCTAGTTGGAAGCACGTGTCTGTTTTTCTAATTAAAAAGTCAATTAACAAAATTTACTTACTAAGCCGTCTGATAGTTACGAGTAGACACCTATATTATGCCCTCCCCCCTCCCCCTCCCCAACCTGCACAAATCCCACAAGTCCAGATTTCGCGGCTTTTTTTAAAAATAAATCTGTAAAGCTTCAAACAAAGCGCCCTGTATATTATTTCTTTTTTTATCTGATGTCTTTGGTGACTTCGAGTGATTCGACAAGGAACGGGTTGTCACTACCGAAGAACGGTCACTATCGAGGGTGATCATTTGGTCTTGTTGTCTCGATTTTACGCGCAATGGACACGCAATTCAGACTTTAATTGAACCGTATGGAGAGAGCAAACTTCTTAACCAAACAGCAACATCTCAGCAACGCTCCCATGCGGTATTTTGCAGCACGAGATATTAGGCAAATAGGCAGAGGGTCTGGCCCTTTAAAGTTTAAACCTACGTTCAGTCCCTACACAAAGAAGACATGTCGCGTCACTGTCCCTATCACGGTAAAAGTAGAAGCAAGTTTTAGCACGGTGCGTAGAACGCATCTCCGACTGGCAACTTTGGGGTCCTATTCAGCGCACGCATCGAAAAGTGGTTCTAAAGTGGCAAAAACCCGAATGCCGTGCTGTCAGACGTGGCGATCATGGCCGTTGGTCATAGAAATAGCTGGCGAAAAGCACGAACGAGCGCGAGTGTCGCTGCCATAGTGGCGTCCCAACTCCAGGCTGCCAAGGCTTCTGTGGATTGTCCAGCTGCAGAGCGACGTGCGGCAGAACAGGCGCCTGTCACTTCCACCGCCGCGGCTGTAACGCCGCCAGGATCGCGACAGGCGAGAGCGTGACAGGGAGCAAGACGGGAGCAGAAATGGCAGGAGCTCTATCAAGCGATGGACCCTGAGAGCATTGTGCTTTTTGGGGTTGCAGAGACACACCTTCGTGACCTTGAGGAACCGCCTATTCACCCGGACTGGCAGTGGACCGGGTGCAACCGGCAGGAAGGTCAGCGAAAAGGAGGGGGTGTAGGAATCCTATGCCGCAGCTCGGCATCCTGGCAGAGGGAAAACAAGACCTGCCAAGACCACATCTAGGTGACAGGAGAACTGTTACAGTATCCAGTGGCAGTGTGCGTGGTTTATCTTGCTGTGGGAAGTGCGCGGGAGGATGAGAACCAAGCGAGTGTGACATGTATTGCCAGTGATGCGAAGACCCTCGGCGTCGGTAAGAATATTTTGATCATGGGAGATTTCAACGGCCATCTTGGTGAGTTGGGCGGGTGGGAGGACAGTAATGGGCAGCGGCTCCTATGGCTAGCGGAAGAGCTGCAACTTGAGGTACTCAACCTGCGGTCAACATGTGAGGGACAGTTCACATGGTGCGCTCGAGGAAGCAAAACCTGTATTGTTTATGCTTTAGCGTCTCACCGTCTCGGGAAAAGAATTGCTCGAGTTTTGACAGACAAGGGCGGCGAGCACAGCCTTGGCAGTGATCATAATCGCCTCAGGCTGGACTTCAGCAAGGCCACTTGGAAAAAGACACAGGAACGATATCAACGCCCACGGCGAACTTATTTGAGCAAGCGGACAGTGGCGACTATCATGGAGACATTTGAGAACAGTGAAAGCAGGAAACTTTCAACCGACGCTACACACAGTAGAACACTCGCAGGAGGAGGTCATCTGGTGGGTGACACTCTTACGGGCCTTCGCGCATTTGAAGACCTCTACGTCTCCGGGCCTGGACGGGATTCCGGCTTCGGTTCTTAAATCGATGGGAACGAAGACAAGGCAGCAGATGGCAGAGATCTTCAGTGCAATTTCGGTGGCTCAGAACCCGTGCCCCAAGACTGGAGGCTTGGTCGAGTTGTCTTGGTCCCTAAGAAGGGAGGCAACCGACAACATCTTCAGGACTATCGACCACTTACAGTGACTTCCACCATCTACAGAGCCTTCGCACATATAGTGAAAGATTACATGGCAGCATGGGCAGAGGAGAATGGGGTGTTAACGGAGCTGCAGGGAGGCTTCCGTCGGGGTCGCCGACTGGAGGACAACATTTTTACGATCACCCAGTGTATTGAGGTCGCCCGCAAGGAAGGAAGAAAACTCCTGTGCTGCTTCCTTGACATTGCGAAAGCTTACGACAGTGTACCCCACGAGTTATTGCTCCAGCACCTAGAACAGTTAGACATGCCACGGCAGTGGTTGGCCCTCGTCCGATGCCTGTATTCGGGCAACGCGGTGACAACAGAGATGAATGGTGCCAAATAGGAGCAAGTGACTGTAACAAGAGGTCTACGACAAGGCTGTCCGCTTTCTCCTCTTTTATATATACTCTATGTGTCGGGGCTAGAGAGGCGCTTGCTCCAGTCGGGGGTAGGATTCTCTTTCACCCATTTAGTAAAAAGGAGAGCCAGTGGACTGCACGCTACCAGGTCTCACCTTTGCGGATGACATCGTACTTACAGGGGAAAGTGTAGAGTCACTACAGCAGCTTTTAGTCATTTGTGTAGAAGACGCGGATGCGCGCTGCCTTCGCTTCAACAGCAAAAAGTCGGCAGTCGTGCAACTAGCCGGACCTGAAGAGCCGCGTCTTGGTCACTGCGTGCTGAAGGGCGAATGAGTCCCCCTGCAAGGCACCTATAACTACCTGGGTATTCTACTCACAAATAAGCCAGAATACCTAGCGGAACACCATCTCCACCTCAGAAAGACGGCCGTGCGAAACACCAGTGTCCTTCGCAAGCGTAACCTATGGAGCTGCA